AACATCATTACTCTGCATTACAGCCACTTTTACTTTATCACCCAGAATTATGACATTACACTTTTCATTAACACCAGAATTGGATCCAAATGGCTCTGTACAACACACTGTTTACTACTTATGGTGTGCAAAACTGGGCAGTATGAGCTCATTTACGCTATCGGCTGCAATTACTTCATTACACTTTTCAGTCAAATGACTTTTTGTGAACGTTTGAGTCTGTAATTGCAGCAGATAGAGAGTGGTTGTTTAATGAAGGATTTAACTATGCACAGATAATGTGAACCTACACAAAGACTTAGTTACATCACTGCTGTTCATTTTTTTTTATTGTGTGCTTCAGTCTCAAGTTTCATTTTGTCACTAATTTAGAATTACCCTGCGCTCACTCTGACTGATGTCACATAACGAAATGTAACCATTAACATGATAGTGTTTCATTAACTTACCTTTAATAAATGGCAGAATGTGTGTCCCAGTCTGCTGTCACTGCTCATGTCCAATTTTTTTTTTTACATAAGAGATGTCTACTGCGATTTACACCACGAGTCACATCCACCCATTCATACAGTACTGCTATATATAGCTCTCCTCTGTTTGGGACTCATCAACATGCAGGGCTGGAGGAGCTAGGGATCGAACCTGACCTTCCAATTAGTTGACGACCCGCTCGACATCCTGAGCCGCAACATGTGACGTTAGCAAACGTTACTGGAAAAAACAGATTGTTGGTGAAAGAGCTGCCGTTAAGCACACAGGTACATAGTACATATAGATCAAAGCAGGATGTGGTTTTGCATAGTGGTTTTCTCCGAAGTTTTTTAGTTTTTCTCTCCTTCCACAGAAAAAGCAGTCTGAGCAAAGGATGTATTATTACCCTCACCTTAACCATCACAACTACATGCCTAACCCTTACCCTGAGCCCATCTGTGCTGTTCTCCTTCATTTGTTTCTTTTGTTTTATGACAATTGTAATGCATTTTGTTAACGGTTCTATTTCCAATGGTGACTTTTTAATCACAGAAAATTCCAGCATCAGAACTGGAATAAATTTTCTTCCTCTGCTTTAGACTGGCGTGATGCAGAGCTGATGCGAGACATTGAGGCAGCTACAGGAGAAGACCTGGGTTCGCATAAAGTGGGTAAAAAAGGGAAAGGGAAGAAGAAGAAGTTCCCCAACCTCAGTGATCTGAAGCAGAGCGCCAACACATCCCGCTCCAGACTGGAGAAAAAAGTCTTCAACAAGTATGTACTCAAACCCCCTGATATAGCAGTGGTATAAAAGCTCCAACTATTTTTTGTTTGCCTTCATGTTGTTGACAAGTCCATCGCTGATCAGAGTGTGGGCAGAGGATCAAGTGATCACATGTCTTCATATTATAAATGATTATGGTTCAGATCACATGTTCATGTGTAAATGGAGTGGTGGTGGAACTGAGTGGGGTTTGTTGGTTTGTGTTCCAGTGTAGAATCAGTAGAGGTATGTATACATTTTTCCTGCTGTGGAAAGACGTCTTACTTAATTCTTTCACCTCCCATCTTCCTCTCCTGCCCCCCGTTCTATCTGTCCCTCCAGGAGCAGTATGCGGAGAGTGGCTCAGGTGATGAGTAAAGCTGACGGAAGAAAACATGACAAGTTCTCCAACCAGTTCAACTATGCTCTCAAATGACCTCCAGCCAGTTTCCAATGCCCCTGAATAAAATGACACGGACTGAGGAGTGCTTCTCTTCCATTCTGTTTGTACTGATCCAAAGGAATATCTTAATTCTTAATGTGCAAATGCTTTAAATGAAACTGGTTTCCGAATCAATATCACGTAAAACATATTTAAAACGCTTTTTGAACACAACGGTGCAGATGGAATAATTTAACTTGTGTCTCAACTTTTTCAGGAAAAGTAATGTGATCATGTATGATCGCATTTTTGTTGATGTGCAGCTTCTGACACATTTAAGATAACTGTTTTATAGTTTTAATATTGCCTTTGTTTCTGCCAAATCCAATTTTCATTTTCTACAACTGACATTTCTAAATATACATCTATATTTCTACTTTGTTTCTGCTGTTTTTAACTTATGTGTGATTTTATATTTAATTTGTATTTTGGCAAATAAGCCGTGCAGTACACTCCCTTCCCTCAGCTTTCTGTGTTTGTGTCCTTGTATTGTCCTCCAGTTTAGTGAGGTTAACTCAAGGTTAGTTCAGCACGTGAATTACTAAATGTGGATATGCAGCTAGATTACTGATGTGATTTTTTTGATTAATTATGCAGTTCCCTGTATTTTAATATGACAAAGAAAATCAATTCATTTAGATCAAAAACGATATTTAGTCTTTAAGGTGAGTGAATATAACCAGTTTCCTATGAGCTGTAAGAGGTTTATGTCATCAAATATGAAACCCCTGCAAATCAACTTACATGTTTTGAACACAGGAACACTACCAGAAATACTTCACAGAAAATCAGTCTCTGCACTTAAAGGGATAGTTCACAGAAAAATGAAAATTCACTCATCTACTCAGCACTATGCCTGTGGGGGGGTAGGGAGAAGTGTTTGAGTCCACAAAACCCTTTTGAAGTTTCAGGGGCAAACAGTGTTGCAGCCAAATCCAAAAACAATTGAAGTAACTGCGGACTCTTCAAATTTAAATAAAACAAAATAGAAAAAAGCATAAAATGCCTCCGTACTGCTCCTGTCACTTGGATGACACCAAATTTGACTCGTAATTTACAGAGATGCAAGCTTTTGGGTGTGTGTGTGTGCTGGGTGGCTCCAGGCAGAGGGAACACTACGGACATTTAGACTAAAACTTGGTGTAAATGATGCAGTTTTGTGTGTAATTTGAATGCCAGGGCTTCCAGACACTTGGATGACACAACATTTTCTGTTGTTTTTTTACCTTTGAAGATGTGTTTTGTGAACTATCCCTTTAAGCTACTCATTTCCGTAAAGTGGATCTCTTTAATATGCTTAAATTGAGGTCTTACATACCTTGTATGAGTTTAATAAAAACACCAAATAAAGGTTGTCGTCTGTGTAGGGAAAGTAAACAACCATGCAGGGCACATCGTGAGTTCATATTAGAGGTGTTTGAAGGAAACCTCAGCTCTGTTATTCACTGGACAGAAATCCAGTGAAATCCTTTTTTGGCAGATTGAGGGTGGTACACACCTCCCTGCAGAATCAAGCTACAGGCTGCTGCAGGGGCAATTGTTTTCCAACCACTTTATCCAGAGAGGCAAAACCTGGTACCAAAGAACAGTAGGAGTCAGGAGTTGAGTCATAGAAGTAGTGTGTGGTAAACATTCAGATTGCAAACATGTTCGGTCTCCAGAGGGAAATAAACTGAGCTGTGCCCATGAACCTGCAACTTTACCCAGGAAGAATGGGAGGAGCTTCATATTTCTGACCGACCACCCACCTGCCATCTAGTTTGTAATTATACAAACTAGTTCAGTTCTTTTTAAATATCTGTTTCCAGTGAAATACATTGTAATAAACTGTGAAAATGATCTAAACCCAAACATGGTTTACACGTCAATCATTTTTACAAATCACAGCTCTCATGTAAATTATGTTTTGTCCAATGTTCCGCCATCAGTGCTTTGATGTGTAAACAAGAACCCAGAACCATCTCTCCCCAAAGGAAACGTTTTCATAGATGCACTGTATGAATGTGTGTGTAGATGGTAAAAATAACTACTGTAAGGTGCTTTGAGTGGTCATCAAGTCTAGAAAAGACCATTTACTATATGTGTTTCCACAGCAATAACACACACAATAACTTTGCAGTTTTTTATAATTTAGCTGCTCATTGACATGTTTTTTTTTTTGTTTTCCTCATAACTATTTTAAAAAATCAGATGAAGCTATGATATTGAATTAACTTGGTTTATATTGAGCTTTTCTAGAAATGTGGTCAGTTTTTAAATGTGATGTCGGACATGTTATTGAAGCATTACAATTGTTGAATTGGTTGAGACTTATAGCTTTAGTGACAAAAAAACAAACCTTTCAGAAGTGTCCTGGTTCTGTCACATGTGCCAACTACGCAGGCCGCCATTTAGGAAATGTTGTTATGGGGACACACATGCAAACAAAGTCACCCGACATCATCCAGATGTTCATTATATGTCCCTTAGGGAATTCATGAGTTCAAGTCAATGCTAAAGCTATATTAAGTGTTCAGTTGACATGACTGCTGCACTCTCTTATTTCTCCCTGGCATTTCAGGTGAATTCAGTGCATGCCTTGAACTCATGTGAAGCACACTGAATTGTCCCTGTGTTGCTGGACAGAAAAACATGCCTGTTAATGACTGGCTATAATTGTAAATTTCAATCTGATGATATGAGATGTTGCATGTGACATCTGGCATATGGCTAATTGGTGACATTTTGCTGGTGTTTGGAGGGAATTTAATTCAGATTTCCATGAATAAATTTAAGGAAGCCTCTGAGATTTGACTTTGTGCAGACTGAATGAGCACGATCACTGCTGCTAGCTGTGAGTAGGAGAAGTAGAATTTGTTGAATTTGATTTAAAACAAACTGAGCTGAATCAGATCCAGCAGAACTGAGAGTCTCTCCTCTATAATGTCAATTTCACTGTCAGTACTGTCATTATGTTGACGGTCACATGGTCCAGGACTTGAAGTGCCTGCTCGGACCATGGTGGAATCATTTTAAAGAAGTCACTGCAATTTGTGAATTCACTTATAAAGATTTCATGCTGAGTTCAACTGTGAGGTCCATCACATCATACCATGGACCAACTGCAGGTACCCACAGCAGCCAACCGCCAGTTTCCAACACAAAACCTTGTTGCTTTGAGGTAGCTAACTGCTGAACCACTGCTCCACTGTTCCACTGCTCCATCCTTCACTTCATAATTAAAGGGTCACTGGACAGGTTTTCAGTGTTTAATTGTCATTATTTTAATATCAAAGACAATATCATGTTGAGCTGAGGATTCAATACATCCAAGGATTTTCTGGAAACAAATTCAACAGAAACAGTCCCAATGAAAACAATCACAGCTGGAGTTACACGGTACTGACAATAGATCAAGCCATTCCTTAAGTCATAAATAAACATTCAATATTCATACAGATTTTTATTTTTTTCAAAACAAAGAACTCAGCTATTTGCCTATTACATATTTTAAAACAGCATTCAGAATAGGGAGCTAGAACATAGGTTTATGTACAGTTTCTGGAAGATATTCACATTCTATCAAAATAATCCATTGAAATTAAAGCCTTCAAACGTTGGTAGTAAAAACAGGAGCAGAGCTGATCACTAACAGTCTGCCTGCTCTGCTGCTGCTGCAGTTCACTCCTACACTGGAACATTTCAGTCTCTCTGGCTCAGAGTGTTTCCGAGGGTGGATCTGTCAGGTCTTTGTGTGTGTGTGTGTTTGTGTGTAGCTTCCAACCTCTCTGTGGCATGTGTCTACAGATGTGTGCTGTAGAAAGCGGGGGCAGCATAGCTCTGTGTCCCCAACATGAAGGGGGACAGGACGTGGCTGGCAGTGAGGAAAGGGAGCTGAACCAGGCTGCCGGTGGGAGGGTGATGGTGGCTGGCATAGCCAGCGTGCATGGCCAGGTGCCCACTGACTGGGGGGGACGGGCTGAGAGGACTGAGACCCCCCAGGCCTACTCCTCCCCCTGCTCCCCCAGTCCCTCCTGGTCCTCCTGCGCCGGTGGGGGCGGATGTGTCGGCACCAGGGTTTTGTTTCTTCCACTTGGTCCGGCGGTTCTGGAACCAGATCTTGACCTGGGTCTCAGTGAGGGAGAGCGACAGGGCCAGGTTAAGCCGCTCACACACTGACAGGTAGCGGGTGGATTTGAACTTGTTCTCCAGCGCCACCAGCTGCTCGTAGGTGAAGGCAGTCCGGGCTCTACGGGGTTTCCCTGACTTGGAGTCTGAGCCTGAGCGCTTCCTCTTGGGCTTGACCCCCTGGCCCCCATTGGTCTGGCCATTGCTGATCTGGCCTTCAGGCCCTCCTCCTGGGCTCTTGGTGTCTCTGGAGGGGTCTTGGTGGCTGTGCTGGCCCAGTTCTCTCTCTCCACTACTGGGCAAGGCTGAGCTGCTCTCTTCACTGCTGTAGGGGCCATCTTGAGCCTCTGAGTCTGGCGTCCCGGATCTCTGGTAGTCATCTTCATCTGGGCTTCTGTATGCAAAGCCTTCCTCTGAAAATACACACAACAAAAGCAATGTCAGATTACGACATAATAATGTCATAATCACAACTCAGCCGTATGAAGGAATGTTGATGTTAATACCCCTCAGCAATCAGAGGGTTGAGCTGCACTTCCTCTGATGACCATTGCTGCTGCCAAATGGTAGGCTCAACCAGAGTACTGACAAACAATTGGAAGTGACAAGAATGAGTACATGTTTGCTGAGGAAAAATTCTCTCTGATCTGCTGTGGAGCCTTTTTCACCTTCTCTTTCTCCCAGTCTCTCTTCATGTTGATTTTAGCAAAAAGTTTTTCCTTTGACCCTGGATTACAGAATTCTGCCTCAGATTTGTGGTGTGTCAGTGAATGTGTCAATATTTATAGATAACCATGTAAGCAAAATAGGTTTTATTAGTTGTATTATTTCTTATTATCTATAATTTATTATATTGCATAATACTTTATATTATTTACTTTACACTATGCTCTACTGGTTTGTATTACCAAATACTTTTTTAATTCATCAAATGATGAATTACCACATGCGCATCCTGAAAGCCTCATTGTGTGATTGTATTTGTTCAGTGCTTGTACCTCTGCACTATTTGTGTAATAAATTGTAAAATTATGCTCACCAGATAAAAATATGAATAAATTAGTCAACTGTTAAAACAAACACAGACACACGTGTTTTTGAATGTATATATTACTAAATGTGAAAATGTGCAAATCTTCCACTTATAAAACAACCTTCTCAGAGGAACTAAGTATTTAAGTCCTTAGTCCAAAGTCATTATTCCTTACAATTATAATTCTTTCTGAGCTGTTAATGTCCAACGTTTTGAGATTGTCCAATTCAGATGGATCAGTCTCCATAAATGGTCAGAATCATCTGAAGAGAACACAATGAGCTGTGGGCCCTCACTGAGGCCGCTGGAGTTCTTCCTACTCCTGTTTGGCGGTCTGTCAGTTCGTTTCTGTTATTTAACAATAATAATGCTAACTGAAAAAATACACTTATGAAGACTACACTTTGGTTCAAACCCATATAAATCTTGAAATAATCAATCCAACTGCAGGAAACACCCTCATAATTTCAGTGAATACTGTGGGTTAGGATTCAATAAAACTAATTATTCCCAGACGAATTTGCAATTATACAAACAACTGGAGCCTTGCTTGGTGGTCAAATATCTAAAATTTGGAGTTCTACGTTAAGTGTAATAAAAAATCAGTCCTTACTTTACTGTAATTTTAATAAGCCACTTTCATGGTAAAAAAAAAAATCCTACTCTGCCCTGAAATCATTATAGAAATGTGAGCAGTGAACCCACAATTCAGGTAAAAATCTGTCCAACTCATGTCCATGTGTCTGGATTAAAGACTTCAAAGACAGGGTTTAACCGGAAGATATGGAAAAACAACACAACTGATAATTTAAAAACAAACATTGATTTAAAAGCTGATAAATGTTTAAGCATTTTAACTAGTGAATTGATTAAACAAGTAAAAGTTTGCATCTTTATGAATTATAGAAATAGTTCAGCAATTATGGAGGCTGAGAATTATTTTGAACTTGTTGTCTGAAGCACAACCTCTGATTAACTCACACAGAGAACACAGGCCTAACACTAAATCACTCATTCATTCTACTTCAATGTAAGGTTTAGGAAAACTTTCCTCTGGAGAACATTAGATGACAATCCTTTTTCAACATACTGTTGGTGGAATTTTAATGAGCATTTAGCTGTTATTTGAATAAACCCTACAGCAAAATTCATTTCATTTTAAAAGCATATCCAGTATGTATATGACATTCACCTACTCCAAGGTCCAGTGGTTTCACTGAAAACTGGTTCATTGCATTTAATGTTTTACTTTTTCTCAATGTAAACCAATATTCGTTCTGTTCATTTTGTATTCGTGTTTTATTGTTTAAAAAATATCGGAGCAGATTGAAGCATTGTTACATTTATCTTAATAATTAATTCATTAATCCTTGAATCTAAATGTTAAAGATTTTATCGAAATTAACGTTAGAAAATGAGGAGATGAAATAACAGAGCGGAAACACACAGAGTACAGGCTACTGTTTGAAACAGATATTCACCAATCAATAATACCGATGTCACACACGCGCGCGCGCGCACACACACACTCACACACACAAACACACACACACATGTTTTATTAGCCCACCTCGGGCCTTTTGTCTTTTTGAACTGAGCTGTTCCTTTTAGATTTATAACAACCTTTATAATAATAATAATAGTGGTGATTTTATTATTACGTTTTATTGTTAATAATGCTACATTCATATAATATATCGAATTATTATTATTATTTCTAACGGAGTGTGTGTACTGGACACACCTGGACAGGGGGAGAGGTGGGAAAACATACAGAGTGAAAAGAGGCCAGAGCCCGTCTTTAAAGGTTCATCCCGTGGAAAGTCACACTTACTGCTCGGGTACTCTTCGGCACCGTAGCAGCCTTTGCTGGGCTCCAGACCGGGCTCGCGCTCCACCGCTCCTCCTCCTCCTCTCCGGTTCTCAGCTCCGTACGCGCTCAGCTCGCGCTCTCCCCGGTGGCTCGCGTGTTGCTGCTGTCGCCGGCTGCTCGTGAACTTGTTTGGGTCCAGGATGTCCAGCACGGAGAAAGAGGTGGTCCGGTGCCCGGCGGGGCCCTGACAAACAACACACCGCAATTCGTCATTTCGTTATAAGCTGCTTGTACTCGCCCCTGAAGTGAAGCTGTTCACACGGCACGAACCTGTGGAGCTCACCGCGTCTCATCATGTCTAACCGACTTACAATTACTTTCTACTTCTACCACAACTACCACTATTATTATTAGTATTAGTATTACAATATTCATCTAGAATATGTTGAACTATTCTTTATATTAGCAACAATATCATAATAATAATAATAATGGTAATAATGTATATTATTATAATTAGAACAATTATTATTATTATTATTATTATTATGGTCACATTATGATTATTCATTTGGAATATGTGCCACAATTATTTACATTACAATGTAAAAATAATATTAAACGTTATTATTATAATAAATATGCTACATGTAATATAATGAATACAATTACATAATAATAATAATAAAATAATTATTATAATTCTAATCATAATCATTTGTATTATTTAAGGTTACGTTCAGGGAGTAGGGACATGTATGGTCCACTACCTAGTGTTAAAGTTGGCTATAGAAACGCTGTGACCTGGAGGCAGACAAACAGCAGTGTGAACAGCGCACATCACAGCCAATAAAACGGACTGTAAAGTGTATTCATAAAGCAAACAGACACAGCAGCGACATAAATCAGCGAGATTCCCTGTATCCAATATGTAGCGGTCAGTAGGCTATCAGCAGGCAAACCAAACAAGCCCACTTGTACTTTTACGCGTCTGCAGTTGAAGGAAAAGCAGAGTGCAGAAAAAAGGAGGGATGAGCGAAACGAATTTGTGGTTTTCTAAAGATTGTTTGAATTCTTTTTAAAGCATTGGTTTATTATTTACATCGAATGCATGACTCCAACACTCACACAGGTAACATCGGGTTGACCCCTCATAACGCTGATGTGCGCACTGAATTTATTTCCTGAAGATTTATGCCAAACGAAAAAGGTGCCAAGTGTAAATAGTTCAGTGTGTCTTAGGACCATTCACTAACTAACGAGGTCGGTCTAGAGCAGGTCTACAGGAATAATCTCACATTATTAATATTACTATTCTCTAATAATCCGAGGGAGCGTGAGGGGTTGATCCATGGGACCTGGTGACAAGACTCTCCTCACAACAACAAGACACACAATCTTCTAAATATCAATGTATATAAAAATATATATTTATCCTTAGGACATCATAACCAAACTGGGTTGTAACACCAGAGACATTTAATGTGTCTCCGATACATGTACACGAGGCTCTCCCGACAATTTAAGTCTGCTTCTTTAATTGAAGCCTATTTTTAAACGATAACACTTAACTTTTCGTTTAGCAGATAATTTCTCGAATTAAAGGGAAGGGAACTATTGCATCATTTACATGCTGCAGTTCACAATTTCCGAAACTGGGGATTTCATTCGCCTCTTCATCAATAAAATAGTGTGACAATAAGAAGTGCGCGTGTTTCCCTCCTGATGTGTGTGTGTGTGTGTGTGTGTGATTCTTATTTTTTTTTACTGTTTTAAAACCACTTTCAAAACTGGCTCCTCATTTTGGTTATACTACATGTCTGAGTTGAGGCCTCACCGGAGGACGACATGTCACCACAGGGCCGCAGGACGTTTTACATGACCCATTCCATCATCATCTTCATCATCATCATCATCATCATCATCATCAGAACACACAACATTTCACAACTTAAACTCCATTCATCAATTACTAGTTATCTGCTACTTTTATCACGTTTAACTTTTGACATGTTGAATCTCTGGGTCTGTCAGTGTGTTTGTCAGAAGTGACCCCCCCCCCCACCCCCACCCCCAACTTTGATCCATGCATCTACCTGCGGTGGCGGGACTAACACCGGATTTGTCGGCGCGGGCTCCGAGTGGTTCTCCCCGGCCTGAACATCTCTGCCTCCGGCAACCGCGTTAGAGAAGAGCCGCTTCTCCCCGGCGGCAACTCCGTCCAGCACGTCTCCGCTGTCCGGACCCACCACTGTCTGAATCCCGTCCCCGTCTGGCGCTCTATCCCGGCTCATCGCGGACTGGACCGCGTCCGCCACGGGCCCTGCTACGGCTCTTTCCCGGCTTATCACGGCCTGGACCCCTTCTCCTCCGGGCCCCGGTGCCGCTCTGTCCCGGTTCATCACTTTACTCGCCTTTTCCCATAGATCGAAAATCCGAATTAAATAAAGGTGCGGTGTTGAATGTAAAAAGATTCCGACTGAACCGTTTTACAGGGACTGCATATCTGAAAATATCAACTTCACAGCACGCGGCGGTCAACATCCAGTGTGAGGTGATGTTTTCAGCCCGGTAAAGTTTTCCATCGGTGAGTGTGGACGGATGCGGGACTGGGTGGATCAGGCTACCGGACGCGGTCCCGTCAAACTTTGAACTTCTTCTCCCGGCTCTGTCCCTTCATCCTCCGCGTCCACCGCTGCAACACATCGTCTGCGCTGCCACTGAGTCTGTGAGTCTTGTTCGGCTCCGGTGTCCCGCGTTGGCACCAACACACACACACACACCAGCTCACACACACACATAAGACAGCGCAGCGTCCCGACCTCCAGCACCGCGCGCTTAATCTGCTCACCGGAGGGTGCGCGCTCTGGAAGCCTAACGGGAGTTGAGGGCGGAACGGACGCTGATCTATCTCTAATGGTTAAAACACACACACACACACACACACACACACACACACACACACACACACACCCTCTCTCTCTCTCTCTCCCTCCCTCTATTAGTTAAGTGAAGACCCCCACCCCCTCTCTCCTTTAGCTCGTGCAATCCCCAACTCTTTTTTAGGTTTTTAGCTCTATTCTCTATTCTACGTTCACGTATGACCGTGTGTGTGTGTGTGTGTGTGTGTGTTTCTGTATTCCTATTTAACTCTGCGGTTTGTAATTGGCTACAAATTAATCCAGCCTCCACTAATGGTCCATTATCTCGGGGCTGCGCGCACATAACGTTGAGGTGCAGACCAGTCCGTCACGAGCACGAGGACGATCAGACACGGCGAAGGAAGCGCGCGCTCGCACCTCTCGGGATGTGAGTTTGTTTGTGCGCGTGCCTGAGCAGGTGAGAGGTGTGTGGCCTGCAGGCGGGCGGGCAGCTGCGCGGACGCGCGCGGTGAGTGTGAACCGATGTGGACTGGAGCTGATGCGTAAAGCTCGACCGGTGCGTCCACATGAATGCAGCTCTTATCTCGGATGCAGATTCCAGGGCAGGGCCTCTCCTCAAAACTCAATTACGGCCTGAATAAAGCCGGTAATGTCCCCGCTGCAGTGAAATATTGATTCCTAATCCTTGGCAGTCATTACTATGCCAGAAAATAATAGACCACAGAATTGGATTTTGATTTAACACACGACGTGTTTATTCTAATGCTGGGGACTTAATATTCCGTTGACTCTTATTTTGAACCGCAGAGGGTAGAGAGCAGTGCCGAGGCTCTGACGCCACACTTTTTTATATTGTTGTGGAAGAAATTACAAAAAGAAAGAGAGGCGACGGGACATCTTTCCTGTCCTCCTCCCCGGCCCTAATACACAAGGTCAGCTCCATGTAATTGCCTTGCTCAATGATCCTTAGGGGGACGAAATTAAAAGTTGGGCAAAATAATGACTGAAATAATGAGACATGATTAGCCAATCAGAGAGCTGAACCCATTACGATCCCTTTGATCTACTTCCTGCTTCCGCCCGGAGGCTTTATGACTTTATTTTAAAACAGTCAATGTGTTAACTTTATATCGCAGAAGCTTATTCACCTTGGGAAATATTAGCATTTTAAGAAGTGGAAAAAAGCACTGCCACACACTGCAACAGGAAGAGTGAACAGAGGAGTATGGAAGACTCTTATTATTTTAGTTTTATCTGCAGGTGAGACGCAGGGGTGAATAAATCCAGGGCCTGTCGAATAAAAGACACATGACAACTTTACTCTTGGTTTATACATGATGCAGTTTAAAAATCAGTCCGACTCCATGACTCTGACAAGTGAGCTTTGAGCCCCTTAGACCCTAAAATCCAAATACTTACAGAGCAATTGACATTTCTGTGGAAGACTGCTGTTTTTTCCAGATCCAACAACAACAATAATAATAACAATAATAAGTTAGCTTAATGATAATAATTACATATATACAGTATAGAATGATGTAATTAAACAAATATATGAAAAAGAGTGGTCAACAAAAAGAGAATATTACCAGAACAATTTAATATTGTTATAATATAGCATAGTAAAATTCCATAATTTAATTAGGTGTGTGTCCTTGTTCCCACAGCGTATGCCAAAAGACTGACTCCCTCTCTCTAGTCACAAGTGTGCATGTGTGTGAATGTGAGAGAGAGTGCACGTGTGTGTGTCTTGTGTCTATAATTATTCTAATGAAGGTTAACGAGCTCTGCTCAACCTCCTCTTTATTAAATTAATCTCAGCCAGTAATGAATCATAATTACTATAATTAGCAGCTTGAGCTGCTTGATCTCACAGTGTTGGCTGGTCAGAGTGAGGTGATGGTACAGAGGCTTCCATCTCCTCGCCCCTCTGGCTGATACTGTCTCTGCTCAGTTCCATGTATGTGCTCCACACAAGTTTGCATGACTATACCTTCCCTGTTATTATTAGAAAACCTGAAACTCCAACCATGGAAGCTACCTTCTAGTCATATTTAAATAAAGGTATAATTCTGCTTGTCTTGTTTTGGTGAAATATTTACATACAGTATTTGCATGTTTAATATCACTGGAAATCTCACACATCTTTATCCTGAAATGCTTTTTATTAATATGCTTTAATATATTGTTTGAACAATTTCAGTTCACAATTGAAATGTTGTTCTGAGCCAAGACTCACACAGCCTACTTAGATAATTCAAAATGTAAAAATATTGAATACTGACACGGATGTCTGCTATCAACAAATACTGAAAACCCATGTAATCTAAATTAAATGACTTTTATGTCTCTTCCTCCTCCTTCTCTTCCTCCTTTTTCATACATCTCTCTGCTTCTGTCACATCTCCTTTTTTTCAAGGTTCTTTATTTTAGATCAGCACTCCTCCTCTTCCCCATTACAGGAGTTATGGTCCCCCTTGCTCTGCTCACACACACTTGACCCACCCACCGACACACACACACACACACACACACGGTTCGACCACAATACATACTAACAGTTAGACACTCTGATAGCATCTGACCTGAAGAATTAATTAAATATGATAGCTGATTAAAAATAGCATAACTAATAGTGTAATATCTCAAGCTGTCGTCTTTAATAGTCAACATTGTGTGTGAGTGTCTTATCTGCTGCAGACAGACGCTCTCACTATTGATTCCTGTTCATTTCAGTTGTCAGGCAGACCGCTCAGCTCATCTGGAATCATTAAACTCTACTGTCTGCCTGTCTCCGTCTCCCCTTATGTCTCTCTCTCTCTCTCTTTCTCTCTGTCTTTTTCTTATCAGATTTTCCGACATCTATGTTTATATTTTATTCACGAAATGTACAGTATTTTTTATTAGCATTTCAATGACACAGCTGTTGATATTTAAAATGTTTATATAATATTCAACACATCCGGGCAGAACAAAATGAACAGTGAATGTCTCCTACTTCTGTAGCACTGTATGTGTGTGTATATGTCTTATTCCTACAGCTTTACTGTCATCCCCATAGTAAAACACATCAGCAAGCCATCCTGCTGCACTAACATGTTCCTTCATAAGCACATACTGAAGACAACTCACACTGTGTGCAAACTTACAAAAAGAACCAATTATTTCCTTATATACTTACTTATGGGACTATTTCCAGCTGAGGAGGAGTAGGAATGATGGAGGGATGGATAGTTTCAGGCCGACAGAGAGGTGACGTAACCTTAGTTTGATGGTGGTGCAGCAAAAGAAACCCCGTGAAGATCAATTATTTACTTATTCCACACCAGCAAATTACAGGAGAAATAATGTTTCCTTCCCTCTAAAAAAACAGAATGCATTTTTTCATCCAAATGTTTTGGTTCACACTCAAACCTTTCACACGACTTCCTGTAAGACATTCAGGGTCAAGTCTCTTAAACTGACTTGCAACATTGTTGTGTTTTAAATCTTCTGCAAGGCCTCTGTGTGGCTTCGCTTGATCTAACAAACAATGACACTCAACTGCTGACCATGCAGGCACTGTGCTCACACAAACACACACACACACACACGCACACACACACACACACACACACACAGATGACCAGCAGATCAATATTTATGACCTATCGTGCTCCTGACAGACCAGTGAGCCACATCCAAGTTATGGCAGCCAATCAGCACAGACAAAAATTCATAAGAGCCATTTTATTGTCTGCTAATTGATTAATTCAGTTAATCATTCAACAGCTTCTTTTGCCATCCTGCTTCTAGAAAGATGTTCTGCCCTACAACTGTCTATTTGGCCATTTAAACATGTTGCTGGTTCAGTTCAACTCTCTGCCGAAGGTGCTTTCATGTGTCTGGAATCATGTAAATTCCAGGGAGCCGATACAAAGCTGCTTCCACTGCTCTCAGTGATCAAATGATGAAACCATGTCAAATGTTGTTCAGTTGTGATGTCTACATGTGGCTGGATTACCAACTGGACAAAACGGCCATGCAACTCTGGCCTTGAACCTACGTAGCACCTTACTTTAGTGTGAATTCACAAATCCAGGTCCCTTTGTCAAAATGAACATGTCCATATTCCTACAGAATGCTTTATTAAACTAAAGCAGGCTAATTGAGCCATGTGTGGTCTAGAAATGACCTTGCAACACTGGAGGAGGTCAACATAAGTGATGGGTAATAGAGTACTCCTTTGCTTTGTCAAAGGTGTTGATTCAGCTCCATGATCATTTCTGAAACTGCACAGTGTTGTATTTATTGTTTTTTTAATTGAATTGCATTATACTGAGACATCCACCTAATATTCTCATCCCTTGACAGTACAAATAGTTTCCAGAGCAGTGGGAAACAATATATTTATTTATATATATCTCTCTGATATACCAGCCTATACATTATGTTATAGCAGTTTACATCTGTATATAAGCTATTGAAACATATGTTAACATATAGTACATACTGTACATGTCAAAAAACAGCTGTCCACTTCTGATACGGATACTGTACATTTGACAACACAATAAGAATCAGCATCTTCCAGCCGCTGCCAAGGATCTGCCACAACAAAGAATTCAAGAATTAAATGTACTTTTTGCATTTGATTTTTACTGTTTGTGCTCGTCTCCTTCAGATAATTGAAAAACATCCAGTATTAAAGTGGCACAAGTAGTGATAATGTGTTTATTAGCTGCCCCTACATAACTGTGGTAGTGCAATGAAATACAACATTAAACACTATGGAAACTGTGGAATTTTAGGAAAGAAAAATGCTAATAGTGTTCATCTGTTCCTGCATGAGAGGGTTGTGAGCTGATGAGAGCTGATGTCCAGCTTTAAAAACCTGAAATCTCTTCAAAGTCTTTGTGGATCTTCAGGGCTAAAATGGTTAAACATATACCTTTATTCTCACAGT